TGAGTATTGAAAGCACTAGTGAAATACTAATGTAAATCCGTATGTTGACAATTCTACAGAGTGTAATTTCAATTCGGCCATCAGGCACTTGATGCAGTTCAAGGCTTCAAGGGCACTAACCGCACATATGGAGCCATGCCTACAGTCAGTAATCCAATCTGTTGAGACTATTCCCCCTAAATGTAACCCGCTGTCACCTGTTGAAATTAAAATAATTGCACAGTTAGACACTAAGTTTTTTAATGTTACTACAACGATTAATAAACTAGCATTTGAATATCTTACCCAAAATCACCCTAATCACGCATTTATTCAATACCTTAAAAATGGTTTGGATCAGGGATTTAGGTTTAATTTTACGGGTAAACGTAAGGTGGTTATACAGGATAACCTAAAATCTATAGAGGTAAATCCGGCAGCATTTACAGACTATATAAACAAAGAACTAGGAGTAGGTCAGATGTGTGAGCCATTTCTTTTATCTAAACCTCCATGTGCTTTATTTCAAATTAACCCATGCGGGTTGGTCGAAAAGAAGGATACCAATCCCAAAGCTTATCAGGTGATTTCTCATTTATCTGCTCCAATAGGAACAAGTATAAATGATGGGATAGATATAACGGAATTCGCCACAAAATATGAGAATATGAATCACGCAGTTGGATGGATAATGAATTATGGTAAAGGTTGTTATTTATCGAAGATAGATATCCAAGACGCTTATCGTATTTTGCCTGTTCACCCAGTGGACCAAGTTCTTCAAGGAATACAGTGTGAAGGGAACTTATACTTCGACAAAGCTCTGGCTTTTGGAAATAGGGCTTCTGGCAGCATATTTTGTCGTTTCGCAGATATAATCACGTGGATCGCTATACAGCAAAGGATTAAGTCTATCATATATTATGTGGATGATTTTTTGATTATTTCTCAAGCTAATGCGAGACAAGAATTAGACCAATTTCTCTGTATACTTTCTATTATGAACATTCCATGCAAGCAGTCGAAATTGGTTAGACCCTGCACGAACCTTATATTTTTGGGAATTCAGGTCGACACGTTATTACTATATGCTTCTGTTCCAGAATCTAAGAAAGAAAAGATTATGGCAATACTTTCAGAATGGAGTCAAAAGAAATGG